GATATCTCCGTATTGTGGACAAGAAAGTGCATTTTATTCCTATCCGCAGTGTTTATTAGTGTGGTTTTTGTTTCACATGAATTCAGAAAGACCTTTGATTCAAACCTTCTTGCAACTCAAAGGTCAATATCATTGCTTCTAAGCCATTATCGGCCTCTTTATTACCATCCGTTGAGTCTTCTTGATGCTTATTACATACCATTTTGAACTCTTTAAAGGTGCATGTGTTTTGGTTCTAAGTACAGAATTTTGTTGTCTAGTAGAAAACCTCAACACACAATGCCTTACTGCCCCCATAGAATATGCAAATGACCAAACACAATAAACACCAAAAAACCTCTGGGGAGTAGAAAAGAGGCAATTTCTAAGTATTTTTCAAAGGGCCATGTGCCTCACCTACCCTGTTAGGGAGTTCATATGCTCCTCCCCAACTCCTACACAAAGTAAACAAATTTCTGTTACAATCTTTTAGTATGTTGTCATATTGCACATGTCCTCAGTTTTATCATTACCTGAAAATTGCAGCAAAAGGGTTGATGAAACCATATTGGATTTTGTATGGGATAACAAACTACATGAAATTAAAACAAATACATTAATTGGAGACAGGAATGTGGGTGGAATAAAAATGAGTGAGTTTGAGTCGATGAATAAAACCTTGAAAGCTTCATGGGTGAGAAGATTTAATACAGAGGTGAACGTGCCGTGGAAAATCATCCCAAATTACATGACTTGACACCTAGGCAGTTTTAAGTTCTAATACTGTCATGCAGTTGTAAAACCAAAGAACTCAATTTAAACAGCATTCCTTGTTTCTATTTAGAAATTCTAAATTGTTGGGAAATGATAAAAAAAATCAAAGCTGAAATAGGTCAAGAAAAAACAGATCCATACAATGCCATAATATGGAACAACCATGAAATAAAAATTGCAACTAAACCAATATTTTATGAGTCATGGCACAAGGCAGGTGTTACAAAAGTTAAACACCTCTTAAACCCTAATAGCAGAAAATTCCTAACATAACCTTTTCAAAGTTAAATCTAGTTTCCCTGTATACTATGGCCTTCTCAGTGCAATTAAAAATAAATGGAAAATTTCACCTTCTGGTAGACAGAGGCAAACACGGAAACAGAACTGGTACGACAAGGAAGAAAATCTTTCCAATGCTGCTCTGCACAAAATAGTTGTTGAGAACAAATTTCAACCACCTACCAATGAAAACTGAATTATTAGTTATGGAGTAGAGCCTTCTGAAATCCAAAAATTATATAAATGGCCTTTTTCTGTCATGAAAATTACAAAGTTAATAATGTTTGAATTCAAGATAAACCACAATATCATCTACACTAAGGACAAACTTAAAAGAGCCAACATAATAGCTGATGATTTATGCTATCTATGTAAAAGTGAACAGCATACAATCCAGCATACGCTTTTAAAGTGGTCCCATGTAGCTTTATTTTGGAATGAATCTTTTGACTGGTGGTCGCAAGTCACCAGTGAAAACATTCAGTTACCAGACTCAACAATTTTTGACGGACCTACAAACCCACTCAAGCGCCATCATTTTACCCTAAGCTTGGCTTTGTTGGTGGCAAAATACTTAAAATGTAACCTAAATGAACAATCTTTACTCTTCGAGAAAACATAATGACTGAAAGGCACATTGCAATAGAAAACAAAACTGCCAGGCTCTTTAATGAGAAATGGAAATGCCTTACATTAAAAGATTTTGTTCAAGAAATTTTGCCATTCATTCCACCATTAAATTCACCAGTTCACACTCTTCTACTAACATACCTTTTCTTGTCGTTAGTGTCTCTGTGACTAACGGCAGTAGTATATCTACTGACCTCTACACCAAACCTACAGACAAACACCAACATCTACTCTATTCATCTTGTCATCCCTTACATACTAAAAAAGCCATTCCTTTCAGTCTAGCACTCCGCTTATGATGTGTCTGTTCTACCGATGCCACGTTTAATACTTGCGCTGCTCAACTTACCACTTACCTCCTTAAACGAGGTTACAACCATAATTTTGTCACCAAACAAATACG